ACCTTTAAGTGGTGAGTCACATGCATTGTGTGAAGGGTTATTATTCCCCGCTGAGTGTATTATTTGCTTATTCTTATGAAACACTCCACATTTTTGGCATCATTTTTTTCCATATATTTTTCAGCTGAGAATTGCAGTCAGAAAAAGATACAGCTTTAGCTTTTAAAGTAAATGTATTTTAAAGCCTAATTAAATAAAAGTTAAAGGTGCTGCCTGATAGGCAGTATCTTAATTGAGTAGGCAATAAATTGAATTACAGGTTTTTCCTTATAGATTCTCAATCCAATATTTCTTGAAAACTAAACCATCATATTCTTCAATTGCTAAAACCAATTTCAAGGTAAAAATGTCATGTCAAATCATGTAACAATAAGGGCATCGCAAATAAGATTTTTCTTGACCTTACCAATCCGTCACATTGCATCACCTCTAAAGAGCATTATTAGATTTTTATCATTCTCTGAGAGCGTCCCTTTCACAGACTAGCCTGATGAAGTAAAGTATCTGATTCCAGCAGATAGCCTCAAACAAAGTTATGAATACCACTGCTATTAATTTAAAAGACATCACTACTCTACAGTAGATAAAATGTGTAATGAATTCACATTAATCAAATATAACTACAGCGATTACCTAAAAAGTATTTGGTTTTATAAGTGTGTGTGTGTGTGTGTGTGTGTGTGTGTGTGAGAGAGAGTATATACTCTCTCTCTCTCTCTCTCTCTCTCAGAGAGAGAGTGTATATACTGTTACACACACACACACTTATGTGCCCTATATTCTATATCAAGTTTTTTCTGTATTTCATAAACCTAGATAATTATTTGAGTCATAGTCATTCATTTCAAAAAGAAAAAAATACTGGATCACTTTATTTGCCATGATGTAATGTCTCTAGATAGGCATAAATGAGTACGTTCAACAGTGCTGCCATCAGTGTTCCCTGCTGCTGTGTAGTTTCCCACTGATTGCACGCAAAATTATTTTATTTTGAAATTATGTTAATTTCTGAAACACTCGTGTGTGTATATATATATAGTTTGACCAATAACACATTATTGGCATCTTTAATGAATTTAGTAAATTATAGCAATTAAAATGATAAAGTATTATTTTCATGATAAATTCTATCACCAGCATACTTACTCAAATAATTATCTCTAGGTTCATGCAATGAAGAAAAAAGTGTTATAGAGCATAGGTCACATAGGTCACATTATTTTCAAAAGAGCAAAGCAGTAGTAGGTGTAAACACTAGAAATATAGCGGTAAATGCTACTTTTTGTTGAAATTATATAGATGTTAAAAGGGTTGCATAGGTATGAGCAGGTGTGCACTTCCACCCCACTGTCATGCTGGAATTCCACTGAGCTTCACCTCACCTCCCCACTTTCCTGCCACACCCTGATGGTAAAATTATATTCAGGAGAATGGATGACTCTCTGGGTGGATATCAGTCTGCCAGGATCACTGTTCTTCCACAGGGCTCCACCTCCCCTATACCCTGCCCCTTTCCTTTCAGGTTGATGATAGATATTCCTGTTGGTCTTGAGGCAGGGAATGCCTAGTAAAGTCTGTTCTTGGGTTTGGTCAGGTTCTTTAATCTGCAGTTCCTTGACACTTGCTTCCTCTGGCTGACTCTCTCTTTGCACTTAGTTAATAGGGTTATCCTGTGGCTGCCTTCTCTCTTCTCTCTCTTTCAGTTGTTGTCTCTGTTTCCCTTTGTGCAACTCAAAATTCCTGAAGTTATCTCTGGATTCATATATTTAACTCTTTCTCACCTCTTTCCAGCCTTACTTCAGGCTGCACAGCCTTAGTTGTTCTGAGGAGCCCAGGTGCAGGACCTAGCCCTGTTTAACCATAAATCAAGCCCTCTGGAGATCCTTCTCCCCAGTGGCCCTTCCTTGACACAGAGAAAGTAAATCAAGGAGGAATTTCCTAGTCTCAGTCTCCAGTGTTTCTAATTTTTCTCCAAAAAAAAAAAAGATCACTCTTGCTTCTTCCCAGGCTTGATGGCTCAGCTAGGCTCTCACCAGCTGGCTAAGGCCCTGCTTTTCTTCTCCTTGGTGTGCCATGCAAATTTTTTCTTTGCTCTGGCCACCTCAGTTTCCCTCTAAGCTCCACTCCTCTCGACGGGTCTTTTCCCCATCCCATTCCCCATATGCTTCCCTTCCCCACCCTGTTCCTACCAGCCATCCTGCTTGGCCCCAGCTCTAGGGGTTGGCTGGGATGACCCACATCACCCCACAGTCTGCTGTCATTTATCTCTCTGGGAGGGCACGGTTGATGTTCACTCATGGCTTATCCAAGTCTTGACAACTCATGAAGTTTTGGCCAATGGAGATCCCCTTTCCCTGGGTCCTCACAGCTCCTGATCTCAATGGGTTGTCAACACTTCAAGGGATGCCGAACCTTTCTTTGGCATCCTCCCTTAAACTCTGTGCTCTTCTTTCTGAGCCAATCAGTGCAGGTTCCCTGGGGCACGTGTTCTCATGCCCCAGGTACCTACCTGTTTCCTCGGTTTTCCCCAGACCCTCCTCCCCAGTGCACTGGGGATGTGCCACTCATCTGGACCCGTCCAGGTAAGTTTCCCAGCAGCACAGCTGGCTCTGTGCAGGTATAGCAGAGGCTTGGCCTCAGCCTCTGCTACAACAGGTATATCTAATGACAGAATTTGGTCTATAAAACCAAATGCTCCTCACTATTACCTTCAATCAGAACTGCACCCATTTAATAAAGACCAAATTTGGCCAATAGTTAGTTGCTACGTAATACAGATTGAAAACTCTAACGGTCCTTTCCAAAGCCTTGAAAATGCTTTTCTTGCCAAATTTAAGATTTCGCTATATTATATATGGAAACGTGAATAATAATTGTGAGATAAGTAAAAGTGCTGATTTGTAGACAGATAGTTTAATCCCATGTTTCAAGCTAATGTAAGTAAATAGCTATAAACATTATGATCCTAATTTGATATACAGATAAATTGTATTGCATTAACTTAGCATAAAAGAGGCAAATGCAAATTAATTTCAAGACAACCTTCAGGCTTGATGTTATAATGAGAACCAATATAACCCTTCCACCTCCCTCCCTCTCCTTCCCCCCCCCCCCCCCCAAAAATGAGAGAGAGAGGATTTTGGCTCTATTTAAATGTACATAGTTATTCAACAGTAATATATTTTCCTAAGGAAATGTCTTGGAGAAGAACACAGAATACCAGAAATGGCTGGTCTGTAGGTGCAGAAGGTCCTATGCTTCATCATTAATATTGTTTATGTCAGTCACACTATTGGAAAGGGGTAGGGCCAAATTATGTTACTCTTTATACACTCAAAGCAATTTTCCAGCTGCATAAGTGACATTTTGGCTCTTACACATAGTTTATGATTCTATTACAGTTGTAGTATGGACACACATGCATCCACATGACTACTGAGTATACATAATAGGGTACACACACTAGTCAGGCAGGTATTTGGTTACATAGCCTTGCACCAGAGGAAAAGGCACAAAGTAGGAATATAAATCTCCGTGGGATTAATCTACACCAGAGCCCCCAAAACAGTTAATATGGTTCTCTATGCATGCAGACAAAATCCTTCTCTGCTTCACCTTCCCTTGTCTTGACCAAACAAAAATGGTGCTGCATGGAAGAGGAGGGTTGTTTTTTTTTTGTTTTGTTTTGTTTTTTTTATATGAAGGAAGGTGAAGGAAAATTTCTGGATCCTTGTCACGTGAGTGAGGCTTGCCAAGTCTGAGAATTTGCACACTCTGGTTGGGGACTTGAGTCAAGACAAGGGTTGTAGGGACACAATCTTGTAATGAGGAGGAGGTTGTGCTGCTGGGCTGGAGGAGGAGGTTTGGCAGAGCTGGATATGAGAGAGTGGGAGTGGAAATGGAAGGAGCTGATGAAGAAGGATCTTTGATTGGGAGTTGGGGAGGGGAAAGACAAGACTGCGCTGTGTGACCAGGAGAAAGTAAGAGAGCAGTCGTTTTCTGCCCACCTGGCCTCTGCAATACCAATATTTTATTTTGAATTAAAAAAAGGGAGATATTGAGTTGGAAAGAAGAGCGACTCTCTCCCTACTATTTTCTGACTGAACATCCTCATCTTCCCCCAAATGTTCTTGTGACACCCCTGTCTGTCCCCGTTTGAAAATCTGGTCACCACACAGGAGGAGGCTGGTATATGTGAGGAGTTCACACAGCCTCAACGCTTTACTAAGTGTTGTGGTTTCAGTATTTCTGTGATGAAGCCTTCTTTTCCTATTTCTGGTCTAGGCAATCCTCCAATTGGGATAGGTAGCAGAAGAGTGAGAATGAAGAATGTGAGGGATATGGTTATATTCTCTGTTTCTCTGTGAAAATGCACATTCCCTCATCCTGGTATACACTACTGTGTACAAAGGAGTCAGTCAGGCAGTGGCCAGCAATAAGCCATTTTGAACTTTTCTACATTTTCTTTGGTAGTATTCATGCCTCAGTAGACACTTATTTCCCTTGCTACAGACTCTTCTGGTTGGTACTACCTCTGCCATCATTGCTAATCATTTAAACTCAGAGTCATGGACCTTCAACAGGTGAAATGTGTGTTCATTCTGCCCCAGCTGCGGCCAGGATGTACAGTTTTATCCCCTGTAATGAGTACTACAAGGGCAGACTGCAGTCAGTCAGCATGTGTATGGTATAATGCAGAATTGGAGCTTTAAATATATAATTGTATATGTAAATACATTTATGATTTTGTGGCACAGAAACACATGGCTTTTTGGCACTGGGTAGGAGTATTTCTCCTATATTATCCTAATATAATTTCTGTTACATCCTGGGTTGTCTGAATTTATTTCTTTTTCTAGGTGGATACATTGGCCTGCAATTCTCAGTTATTTTTCATTTTACTGTTGTCTAGTTTTCCAAATCTTTATCACTCAATATTACCCATTGAAGAAAAACATAGGTATGATATTTAAATAATAATGCTCTTTTTTTTATTACAGGCATGTAACCATCGCTCTAACTCAGAGATAATCTGCTGCACAACTCCTTCACTTAAATCCTTCAATCTGCAACTACCTTTTGTAACAAAAGTGTTTTTTATTTTTGATGGAGTCACCCCTTTATACTTTGATTTTGATTATGTGAATAACCCTGTATTTAAACACTTTGAAAAGCCAGTGGTTATCTCAAGAGGCAGCCAAAATGTAATAGAAATTAAGGTAAGAAGTGCTGAAATGGTTTTGTAAACCTAATTTTGATCTAACTGGCTTTTTAGCAGTTAAACCTAAATGGAAGTATTTTATTATGATATTGCTGACTATACCAGCAAATAAGCTCTAAAACACAAGTCATAACACTGAAGTGTAATAGGGAACTGTTTCGTTTTTTTAATGAAAGATTGGAGAAAAGATCTAAAAGAAATTGCATAAAAAATGAAGCAGTAAATAGCATGAGAACATTGTATTCTGCATATAATATGTTTTTTTGAGGTCACAGTTGCTATGAATTAAAGAAAAAGAGCTGAACTTACAGATGTACACTTGGCATATCGTGTGGAAGTGCAAAAGTAGTTTTCCTGGTCCTCAGGACTTCCAGAGGCTAGTCTGGCATCCATGCAGGCTAAAGCAGCCTCAGGATGGTACTAAGTTGTACCAGCTTTTAGCAGCCTTTTACAAGCTGTTGGAGAGCAATGAAGCAGTGTATACTCCAACACAGAAAACTTGGGGTGTTTTTAGCTGTCCAGTTGCAATGTACCAAAACCAAGAATCTGGCCCCAAATTTGAAATGCCTGCTCTGTAAGATTCAATCATTTCTACTTCATGGTCCTGCATCCTTTCTATTGAAAGGAAAATGAAATTTGTAGTGACATACTGATCCTGCTGCCCTGACATTATACACTGAATATATTATGTATTATACAGGAAGTCAGACTAGGTAATCACCAGGGATCCTGGTTTTCTCTGATTGAAAAAACCCCTCAATATTTGGTTTAAAAAAAGTAATTCCATATCCTCATTTTCCCATCATTTAAATGAAACACCACTAGTATATAGATATATAGAGAGAGAGATTTTTTTTTTTTTTTCATTTTAATCATGGAAAATGTGGATTTGGGGTTACTTTTTTTTAACTGAAAATTAGGGATTTTTTTAAATCAGAGAAAACCAGTATCCCTGGTAATCACAGTGGTCCATTCTGCTCATAATATTTATGAATCTTTGAAGGTTTCAGACCTGGTAATGAGTGCCTGTTTGGAGTAACCAGCCTGGATGCTGAGGTAAGCCAGACAGTGCTGAGAAACACAATCAAAGTGCCAAAGCACAACCAGTTCCCAGGTATTGTACTGGTCATAGGAGTACAAGTAGACAATCTATGTCCATGCCATGTGTGTATAGGACTGCCTAGAGATATGTAAGTGTGCTGAGCAGAAGATTTTGAAATTTAGTTTCGTTCCAATTCAGAATAAAAACCAAAAATGTGAAATTCTGTGTGGAACAAAATATGGGCCTGGCTCTGTGGCAGTTTCCCCTTGGGGGTTGCTCCAGAGCTGTATGTCCTTGAAGTCCTTGGGTTCCTAACACCCACATAACCTGCATGGCACAGATACCCGGGAGCAATGACTGTAGAAGGCCTTCAGTCTGATGGACAAGATGCTAAAGAGCCAGGTAGGTGAGTTGGTAGAAAAATCAGGCAGATGTCTGATTAAAATGAGCTAGAACATAATAAAAAAGAACTCTCTCTACAAAATACTTTCATTTCATCCAACCGACAAATTCTGGCCACACGTTTTATAGCTTTTTTTTTTTTAATCATTTATATGTAGAAGCCTTAACTACACAATTGCCTCTTCCCCAGCCTGCCCACAACCATCCTCTGTGATACTGTGGAGAGAATTTTCAAAATTTAGCTATGCAGGCCTAGGGCAGGAATAAAGCCCTCCACCCAGCATCTCCATGGCTCAGTGTCTTCAGACAGTAGCACCAGAACATTTCTGCTGTATGCTAGGTCTTGCACACTCACTGTGTGAGGTAGATATTTATAGTAGGAAAAATTTCACATTTGCTCCCTATTTTTTTTAACCCACTTATCCACCAAAGCACTTTATTTGCTATATTTTCTTTTAAGTTTTGACCCTCTTTCTGCTTAGTTGTCAAGGAGGTAGGTGGAAAACTTTCAGATAGTGAAGACTGACTGAAGACTGCCTTTTTGGAGAGTAACACAATGATAATTTAGCTGTGCTGGTGTCCCTTGTAGCCATGGTGCCTAGCCAGCTGCCTACCTAAGCCTGATGCCCCTGATTATTTCCTGGCAACCAGCTTGAGAATGACATTAGTGAAAATTGGTCTCCTAGAATAAAGCATGAACATGCAGTAATTCAACATCCTCCTCCAAACAAAATTAGTTATAGTGGGATGCTTCCATCTACACACTGAAGCAACTTTTAGAACTTATGTTCGGGAGCCAAAAGGTCATTATAAGCCATAATGGCAACACTCTTCCCTTGCCCCCTACCCACGTACAAAAATGCATACACAAGTTGACATGCCTCATGGTCATATTTTGTGTAATAATTAAGCAAGTGCACCATGAAATTAAATGGCAACTTGCTTCAGTGAACAAACTGTTCTACCAAACCAAAGTTCTTTTATCTTTTTCTTAATTAGTTTCAGAGGAGTAGGGGGAAGCTTTTATCATGGGTTTTTCAGTCAAACTAATCTAGTGTGACATATTTGGCTTTCAACAAATGACTGGGGATACTGATGGGAAGGTTCTATTTGGTTTCCCTTGATGAACATAAGATGTTTTATAAAGAAATGTTACTAAGAAAAAAAAATGCATTTAGTCATTTGCACTATCTAGGACCTTGTCAGGCCATTGCATCCCAGCTTTTATCTTCAGTGAAAGTCTTCCAGAATTCCATATTACACTCTGTCTCTCAGGGTCTCACCTCCCAGCCATCTTTTCTTGCCAAGTATGTGATTTTCTTTGAAGTCTATCAATGTCATTCATACCCCGGTCAGAGGGGTCATGGCAGAGTGACACGGGGCAATCTCCTGCTCCACTGCCACTCAAATGGCTTTTGAAATGCTCCCATCTCCTGCCAACTTGGAGAGCATACAGGCTATAGAACAAGTCCTATTGTCTGCCAATCTAGGACAACCAAAAAACTCAAGTCTAGGCAAGAGAATGTAATTATTGCCTGCCAAATACTCAGTGACCTGTACTCCTAAACTCTGGGTGTGCTAACTGCTTGGTGCATCCCATGAAATGAAAATGAAAAATGACCTCCTGTCTCAGCGCACTTATAAACACTACCAAACTGCAGAAGAAATGGGTGATTTACCCACATGGCCTGCTCTTTTGTTGAATTCCTTCTATGGTTCTGCTTAACTGATCACCACCCATATTGCATGCATGTTTTCTTCTTCCAAGCTCCCATATAATACATATCCATCACATACTATTGTAGTACCTACATCTAGCCCAGTGTCAGCTCAGCAATAAGGAAATCTCAGTGCTAAGCCAGTATTCATTTTAAGCCACAATTTGGACATGCCTGGCAAGCAGATATTTTAAGTGCAGATCAGATCAGGTCAGCAGCTTGCCCTTAACTGTGGCAAGTGATAGAGACATACCTAGGAATAGAAGAAAGATCAACACCCCCTACAAGGGCAGCTCTAGGCACTCCGTGTAATGTGTCTTGACTCCACATGTGACCATTCTTTAAGGCCCTTTTGAAAAGTTCTCAGTGCTGTTTTTAATCAGGGTATGTCTATGCTGCAGAGTTGTATAAAGATACCTGACTCTCAGCAGCATAGAGCTCACAAGTGTGCTATATACCATTAGGAGTCCAGGAGCAGCTGTTCCGTAGGGGTCCTTCAGCTTCAAGAATTAAACCAATAAATTAAGAATGCAAGCAGGACAGAGAATGGAAAGAAGGTCAATTAGTTTATCCTAATTTATGTCATTTTGGGAAAGGGCAGAGCCCCAGACTTTAGAGTCTTTTCTGCTTTCACTGTCCTCTCCATCAACAGAGAAACCTTACCCAGTAACATAAAGTGGGGTGAGCAAGCAGGACACATGCCCTGAGCACTACCTAAAGGGATCAGTACCAGAAAGGTACCCTCACTCATGCCTCATTCTCCTGTCCCCTTCTCTGCCTGCACTTTCCAGCTGCAGGAAGCAGCGGTGCAGGCAGTTTGTGTCACAGAGCACAAGGCTTCCCGGAAATTTTTGTTTTATCGAACAGCAGTAGATTTCACAGCTGCTTAGGGGTGAGAACAGAGAATTTAACCCATTTTTTACTGCTGAAATCAGCATTTTACTTCATTGACATGGGCTTCAACAGCAAAAAAATGTGGTGGATGTTCCCCTCCCCAGCAGCAGCAACCTAAACTACTTTGTACTCCATGCTGCTACTTGATGCCGCTTCTCTGGTGGGGGGTTAGGGAGGGCTTCCTTTTTCTCACATTATACCTAAGAGGTCCCTACCTGCGATGTTGGTATTGACCTTGGTTCTCCTTCCTGTTCCTATCTGAGCAGAGGCTTTAATGAACAATACAGCCTGTGGTTTTACAGATTATAAATAATATGCACACACTGAGACAAATACAGACTACCCAAACTTTTGGTTTGTAAACCACAGGACTTAATTTTTAAGCATAACTCATTCTGGCAATAGAAATAATTTGCAAAATGATGATTTCATGTAAAAATTAAGATCCAGACAATCCTTAGATAAATCTGCTTTAGAATTAAAAGATGGAAAAAACCTGCTGCTCCAGTCTCAAGGTGCTCTATGTGGTTGCCTATCAAAGCATTAAGAAACATAGCCAGTCCATATATAAATGACTTAATTGATTAATTTTTCTCCACTTCTGTTGGGAGATTACCTTAGTTTTAGAGCTCTCAGTTAACAATATTGCTGATATTAAGCCTAAATTTTCCATTTATTTAATTGCATTTCATTGCTCCTAGTTATAACCCCTGAGGCTGATGCAAAGTGTTTTAGTCTTTCTGTATTGCTCAAATACTCATAACTGTGGAGCCATATGGTATGTGGAATGGGTGTGAGATGGCTGTTCACCGTAGTACCTAACTGCCATATATGGCTTATGGAAGCACCAACCATTTAGAACACAGCAGGGGTGAGGAGCAGACTTTTTTTTTAAGGCAAAAAGAGTAACATGAAAGACCGGTAACGTGCTCTCATTTGCTTGCTCGATTAGTAATTAATAGGTGCTTCCCTCCATCCCCAACATTTTTGTGCTAAATTCTGGAGTGTTTAACTAAGCAGAATTCCAACTAAAAGAGGTCAGAAAATCTGCCATATATTTATGGCAATAACTAAAACCTAAGGGCCTAACCAGAACTGGTCAGGAATTTCTTAATGAAGTGCCTAAATTCAATTTTTTCTTGAGAAATAAACTTCTATTTTCATGGAAGTGTATTGTTTTGAATGCAAATCATCAGGGAGATGCATCAGGCCCAGGATGAAAGAGGGAGACACAGCTAAAATAGCCAGTAGCCCAGGGAACCTACTTGGGATGTGAAAACCAGATTGGTCTTTGCTCTGCTTGATTCAGAGGGAGACTTGAATGTGGGTGTCTCCCATCCTGGCAGAGAGTCAGTCTTTCTCTGTCAGACAATTAATATTTAAATATTTATCAAAGTGATAAGAGACAGAGAGAGTGCACATAGTATGTTTCAACCCAGGACATCTGCGGAAGCCAGTTGCTATTTAGCAAGACCCAAGAATTGGTTAGAGCATTCCCACACTACCTGAGCTGGGTCAGGGGCTCCTAGGTGGATCTACCACCTTCTGTCCCCCACTTTCTTACTCACACCCCCAAAAACCTGCATAAAGTAGTTTTTCTATTGGGATTGAAATACATTTTAGAATTGAAAAAAAAAAAAAATCACAAAATGGAGTTCTTGTTTTCTATGCATCCTGCATGGAGCTCACTGCAAGCTATGCTTTTCAACACTCCCTTGGTTAACCCATCTAGAGTATCTTCTACTGCTGTCTTCATCCTCTCTGCTTCCCTCCCTTCCTTCTGATTGTTACACTAGGGCTTGTGTACATGTGCAGGCTATTATAAGGTAAACGAGAGTGGGGACTAGAGGCACAACAGCTACTCCATGATAATTGCCTGGGTGCAAGATCCTATTCCATTGGTGCCTGGGTTTTTTTGGATGGTGGACTGGATGAGTGGTGCAGGTTTGGCCTAGCTGGGGCCTGATGAAGCTAAGTGGGAATGGCACAACCGGTGCCCGGTGTAGCCGTGTGCAAAGAGCTCACCAAGATCTGATCCCCACACCTGCATTGGACTGCAGCCAGGCAGTTCCAACATGACTGCTTCCAGCCTGGCTTCCCAAAGCTGCATCTGGCCCTGGACAAGCCATTTCCACACAGCTGGATTGGGCTATGGCTTGATCCAGCCACTCAGGAACCAGGCCCAGTTCTTGTGCATGGGGCCAGCCTGGCTGAGGCCCATCCATCCATGTTGTACTGGGGAATATGGAGGCAGGGAAGCAGTGGCAGTGTTAATTGCCATTGCTCTTCCACCACCAAATTTATGGACCCATGAGGAGACCCACCAGCCAGATTACATGGCTTTGCGGGCTGGAACTGGCTGTGGATCTGGCCCTTGGGCCAGGGGTTGGTTGAGTACCTCTGTCCTATTCTGGTATGAATGCTAAGCCGAGGTAGTTCACCTGTCAGTAAAAAATGGGCTAGCTTACCATGCCTTAGTTGTCATTTACCCTGGGAGAAGAATGTGAATGCAAGTAATTTTCACAGAATAGCTACTGCACTGTACACCGATGCCCTGTTTATCATGCCTCTACTTGTCTTGAATTAGTTTGTGAGCTCCTCAGAGCAGGAACCTTATCCTCTTAAATATTTGGACAGCACAAAAGGGGGCCTCACCCTGACCAGGGCCTTCACATGCTAATATCTTACAAGTACTAATAATTATTCAGCTGAGTCTGGGATGTGAATACCAAAGGAGTTTTGCTGGGTCAAAAATATTGAATAGGGCTTTAGAATGATGTCTTATTTACCAGAGCATGCTTATGTTTAATTTTACCAATATACTTAACCAACATTTATGAGACCAATTCACTTCTTTGCTTTACAAGTTTCATCTCCCCTTTATAATGTACCTCCCTTCTCCACTTGCAAAACAAAATATTTGAGATGTCTGTAATTTGTGGCTAACAGAATGCCAGTTTTATATAAACAACAGAGTCATATACTGCTTCCTTTCTCATGTGCATTATGCAAAAATCTAGGATACACGGTGAACAAAACAGCCAAATATATTCTTGCATGTTTACATTTTTAGAAATCTTTGTGGGCTGCATAAGTGTAACTTAAAGTAGGTTTTAGCCTTAAACATTTTATTTCCCCTTTATCTGTCTGCCAAACTGCTGTTTTCATTAACAGAACTTATATATGTGTATTGACTGGACAATACAAACCTAATTTTGTTTTATTTCTTAATTGGCTCTTATTTATAATGTTTTTCTGAACCAATCAAGTGTCCTTAGGTTTTATGAAGTACTTATGTAAAATAATAATTGATTTTTCCCCCCCCAGGGAAGTTATATCGACTCAGAAGCTGTGAACGGCGAGGTGCTAAAAGTTGGCAATAAGAGTTGTGAAAATATCTTCTCACAGTCAGAATCAGTTTTCTGTACAGTTCCCAGTGAGCTGCTGAAAACCAACAGTGAACTAAATATAGAGGTGGGATATCTACCCTGCATATGACAATGCCACTGTAATTATGGAACCTACAAACTTAAAATACAACTTGAACCTAGGATTCACAGTGAATCCAGTTTGTGCACTTCCTTTAGTGTTAGTCATAGTAGTTTTAAATTTAATCTTACTTAGAACTGTTAATTCTTTTAAATGAAACATTATTATTTTTATTAGGGCAGCAAGTAAGCACCCCCATCATGGACTGGGACCCTGTTGTGGTAGGTGTTATATAAACACAGAAAAAAATGACAGTCCCTACTCAAAAAAGCTTCTAGTGTAAGCGTAGGAAGAAACTAGAGATGGGAAGGACATGGTCACAATAGAGCAGTCATCTTAATCCTGGTTCTGCAAGCCTTTTTTGGGAAAAGTCTCACTAGAATCCATGGGATCAGGCCCCTGATGTGGCAAATACATGAAATTATCTTTTCTCCACCTTCTCCAATTTCGTTTTATTAGTTCTGGTAAATTGATGACATTCAGGACAAATACTTGAATCCATTATTTCACTCAGTATGAGCCAAAACTCGATCTCACTAGAGTTATTGCGAATGTAGCCACTAAGTTATACTGGACCAGGATATGACCTTTTGTTGATTCATAAGACACCACAAGAATGTTTTAGGGTTTTTTGATGAAAGATGAATGAAGGAAGATAAGAAATGATGTTCCTTTTTATAATTAAACCATTATGTATCCTGTCCTGCTACAGTGAAAATGGTGGGCTTATGAGTAAGTAGGATTGAAAGCTATATGATATCTTTCTTTCAGACTGTAAGCTGTCTGGGGCAGGGACTATCATTTTGTTCTGTTTATACAGCACCTGTTACAATGGGATCCTTATCTGTAACTAGTGCTCCTAGGTGCCATCATGATCCTACTATTACTACATTACTAGTAACAATAAGATAGTTTGCAAAAAAAGAATAAGTACAACTTTTTGGGGCATGTAGCTGACCCAAGTATAAAATCATTTGGACTCCTTTTGCCTTATGGACTCCTTATACGTTTTTTCAACACCTGAAAATTCCTTCTTATCTCATATGCCTATGTGATATGCATACATACACATATTTATACATATGTAGCTGCTAAGGTAAATTCATTTGATTGGTTCTGTTATGCCATATTTCCTAAGTTCTTTAGCTTGTAAGAACCAAATATGCCCAGCACCTTCTACATGTAGAAGCAAAGAGTTTGGCATAAAAGGATGATACAAGCTTTTTCCCTTTTTCTTGGGAGGTGGCCTTAGAAATTGCTGCCTGCTCAGCAAAGAGGAAATTTTGCTTTTCTGACAAGCAGATCTACCATTACAGTGCCCAAAAGACTGAATTGCACAGAAGGAAGAAAAAGGATTGCCAAATGCATTCCAACAGACTGAGATAGTGCCATGTGACCTGTGATAGTTTTGTTCTGCTGGCTGTCCAGTGTTTGTTAGTCTGGCTTTTTTTTTTCTAAACTGTTGACTTGCTAGGGACTGAATCACATGAGTCTGGAAACAAAAATACAGGAGTTTGAGGAAAGTCTGAAGCTGCACCATGTATATAGGTCAAAAGGACACGTCCTATAGACATTTAGGCTATTTTTTTAAATAATAGGAATGCAGTAGTATTTTTTTGTGTAATGGATGTAAAAGGTAAATTAGCACAAGGTACTAGGTAGGCACCTACTGCTAAGTTTCTGTGTGTAAGGACTGAATTCCTCAATAGAGAATGTAGTTGTTTACGTCTGCTACTTTGTCCCCTGAAAAGACTTAATAAATCATAGAGAACCAGATTCTGATTTTGCTTACACCAGAGCAAATTCATTGCATTACTTGAAATTCTCCCTCATTATGGAACTTCTTAAAGCCAGGATTTAAGCCATATGGGAAGGCTTGGATCCCATTACTTCAGTGCAAATATGCATTACTTATTTGGGAGGAGGAGGAGGGAGGAGCAGAACAAAGCAGAGGTAATTAAAAAATTTCCCCTGCATCACAATTCTTGTATTTCTGTTTCTTCCAGTGGAAGCAAGACGTTTTGTCAACTGTTATTGGGAAAGTATTGGTTCAGCAAGATCCAAATTACACAGGATTGACTGTGGGAGTTGTTTCAATATCCATTGTACTTTTGTTATTTGTGGGTCTTTTCTTGTGGATGAAGAAGAAGAAACAGATTAAAGGTACAGGTGATTAACTTCATGATGTAATTACAATTATAAATGGGGTTTTTAAAACATGGACTAATGTATGCACTATCTATGTCTGAGAATGCCACTCTTAAACCGCATCAGTGGTGATTGTACAATAAAGATGCAGCTCTCATCTGCATTTCAGCCCCTTTCTGCTACCTGGATTCTGTAAAGGGCAAGAGCGTAGCCAGACCTGGCCAACTGAAAATAACCCTGTTTTGACTCATTTTGAGCTCAAAACAGCAAAATCGAAATGAAACGAAGGGCTTCAAAACAGCCTCAAAACAAAATGAGGCTAGTCGAAAGGTTTCAAAATGTTTCGAGTTTCAAAGCAGCCAGCAGGCAGGTGGTGGGAGATGGGGGAGAACCAAGGCTGTGCTCCCAGCAGCTCTGCAGCCCCATGTGGCCCAGCCAGGCAGAGAATGCAGCTCTGGCTCTCCCCGCCTCCTGCAGCTGGGCTGTGAGAAGCCCATCGCAGTGCAGGGGAAGGAAACTGAGCTCAGCTGGGCTGAGTTGCCTTCCCCAGCCTGATCACAGCAGTGAGGAGGGGAACTCAGCTCAGCTGAGCTCAGTTCCCTTTCCCAGCCAGATTGTAGCACTGGGGAGGGGAACTCAGCTCAGCTGAGCTCAGTTCCCTTTCCCAGCCAGATTGTAGCACTGGGGAGGGGAACTCAACTCAGTTGGGCTCAGTTCCCTTCCCCAGCCTGATCCTAGCGCTGGGGAGGGGAACTCAGCTAACCGGGCTCACTTCCCTTCTCTGGCCTGATCGTAGCGCTGGGGAGGGGAACTCAGCTCAGGTGGGAACTCAGCAATTGGGCTCATTTCCCTTCCCCAGCCTGATCGATCACAGGGCTGGGGAGGGAAACTGAGCAATTGGGCTCAGTTCCCTTCCCCAGCTCCCCAGTCCCAGGTGGCAGCACCTGGCTTCCCTCCCTCATCTGGCAGGTAGATCGGGGGTCTGCAACCCCGGGAAGACTGGCACAGCCCCTGCAGCCTCCTGGGGTTGCAGCCTCCAATCTGCCTGCCAGATGAGAGAAGCTGTTTCGAGCTTCCCCATTATAGCCTGTGGGTGAAACGTTGAAACAGCGTCACTGTTTCAATGAAACAATGAATGAAACTGTTTGAATGAAACAAAATGGAACAGCAGTTTCGAATAGAAATGAAATTCAAAACGAATTTCGAAACCTTGAAACGCAAGTCGAAATGGAACTGTGCTGTTTTGCACAGCCCTACTGTGCACCCATTCTAGAGTACAGAGCCACAGCCCATGGGCCAGATGACACAGTGCTGGGGGCCACACCTGCTCTAGTCTAAACCATCCTCTCCCTCCATGAGCCCTGCCATAGGGAGACTAGGGAAGGGAGAAAATGGTTGTAGTAAATACATTACAGCTATGCTTAGTACATGGTCCCTGAAGAACTGTGTCCACTTTGCATAGAATACAGAAGCCTTCATGGTGCTCTAGCTTTGACCCACCTTGAGAACTGCTGTAATAACTTCCCTTGTCAGCACAGCAGAATATCTGCAGTCTACATATGTATTCTTAATTAGTGTTGACACTTGCTGTGTACAGGTGTTTAATATTACTTCTTTTACATCCATTTTTAGATTTGGGAGGTGATCTAGTTCGCTATGATGGTAGAGTGCACACTCCTCATTTGGACAGGCTGGTGAGTGCAAGGAGTGTAAGTCCAACTACAGAAATGGTTTCTAGTGAATCTGTAGACTACAGATCAACTTTTCTAGAAGGTAGGATTCTGTTAGTAACCTGAGGAAATGTTGCCTTATATTAAGCTTCTCGTTTCAAAGCTGTTTTCATATAACAAGAAGAGTTTGACTTATCTTACCACATCAAAATCTTACCATTTTTCCTCATATCTTCTAGTACCTACCACAGGGCTATTCAACTAGTGGCCCACAGGCTGCATGCCTCCCACAACAGGTTTATCGGTGACCCCTGAGGTCACCCTGGCTGTAACTCCCCTCCCTGATCCAACTACTCCTATATCTTGGGTCTCTTGGCTCCCCCTCCATTCTCTAGCTGTCACTTCCTGTCCCTGCCCCTGTCTGTTCTCCCTGCCTAACACTGCAAGTCAACTGGCAATTAAAAAAATCAAGCTTTACATGTATTCATGTGTGTATATATAAGTTATTTTAAATATTTTATATAGTATAATATAGTATTATGATATATATTATACATTCCATACATATATATACACACACACACACACA